GTCACTTATCTTTTCAAATTCCGTAGTATCTCGCTAAGCTGATGGCTGTCAAATCATTCATTGCTATTATAACAAAATAAATCACTTTGCTGCGCCATTCACGAAGCAACACACTCTCAATTGTTCAGCTTAAGATTTCTGCTGCGATACCGACGTGGTGCAGTGATTATCGCAATCGCTGTTTACAATTAGCACAATCGGTGTATCAATTCATATGTTCAGTTTCGAAACTGAAGTCGATTCATACTCTATGAATAAATCTTCGAGACTAGAATTAGGCCTGTTCAGAAACTCGAGTTTCAATCCAATCCCACGAGCAGCTGTACAGTTCCGAGGATGGCAGAGCCCTCAATATCAGTAGCGGGTCATAATGGAACAAAGATGAGATTATATCAAAATTTTGATGGAATCACCTAAAAAAGAAGCACCATTCGACGGTTGTGCAGTAATTTGCTGCAGAGACGAAGGGTCTTCGAAAGTAACTTTCTTACTGGCGGTTGTCACAGAACGACTGGTCGTTAGAGCTGCAGAGCTTCGAGGTACTTGATGAGTTCGATATCTGTCCGATGTTGAAGCGTTTGTTGCAGGTAGAGTAATACAGGGTAGTGGTGGAGTTGGAGGGCGAACTGATCGATTCGCCAGTATCATTGGCCTGCAATTTAGGCTCCCGATTCAGCAGATCAAAACCAGATAATGCCCACAGTGAGATCAATCATACTGATTGTGAGTCAATTTATTATGAGTATGGTCACCGTTGGAAACCAACAGTATGCTCAAATATGCAAATTTTACTCAAGATTGTAGCTGAAGCACATTCTGTAGTTATTCTCAATTGATTTGACTTAATCAGCTGTAGTCGCCACATACGATTTCAGAATCTATCTCATCGCAGACAATGCTTTTTAAAATGATTCGAATTTATGACGCGCTCGGATAACTGATGACTTCCTGAACCAACACTTGCAATCAGTTTTGAAGTATTCTTTGGAGACCACTTAAGAAGTTGCCTTGGAAGATGACTATTATAGCAAATCGATGCGAAACAACAGTGTCTGACATCCAGCAAAATTTTTTCATCTAATTTCCTATTTTAAATACCGTATTGAGGGTTAAGAAATTGCATAAAATGGATCGCACTTCAAGCATATAAATCAATCGAAATGTGCTCAGCTAAACTAAGCGATTAGAATCATTTTTTTGCAATGATGTAAAGGAACTCGTCGGCAATTGTTCAGTGCTAAAGGGCATGCAGCATCTCTGGGTATCTGTCGCAAACCGAAAAAAAGAGTGTGCAGATGGCGTTATGAAGTGAAATGTGACGTTAGAGCGGTATTATTGAATCAAATATGCGGAATACAACTGAACTGGGTCTGTTGAGATCAACCTTGATAGCAAAAGCAGTTGAGAAGAAGTGAAGGAGAACAAGAAAATGCCAGCAAAAACCTTGGTAATAGACGATAAT